TACAATTATGTTAACGCCATAGTATTTTTTTGTAAATATGCAAATAAATATCATAAGAAGCCATGACTGTGTCTTTTTGTGGCAAACTACAAATAATTGTTCGATGCATATACATAATATTGTCATCCAAGTGTTTCAAAAATGAGGCACCGTGAAGTTAGGAAGTCTTGAGGTTGACTCAGTGAAAGATTGAGAGTGATATTTAGCGCGCCTTGTAGTGATTTTAGCGGCCCCGGTAGTGATTGTATCGCCCGCGGTAGAGATTTAGCGCCCCCCGTAAATGTGCCCCATTTTTGAAATACTTGGACGACCATATATACTACTGGGTCAAAACATTCTAAACATAAAAGCTATCGACGTTTAAATAGCACCTAATCAGCTGAAGTATACGCGTGATATCCTATTAAAGTAGGCCGCACTACCTGACACATCACCTCGAGTTTACACGTGTGATACGATGTAACAAGGATTACATGGGTTAAATAGTCGACATATTTGCCGCTAATTGCAGATCAAAATCAAAACAGGGTTTACAAATGGATCGATACAGTGTACATAACCGGAGCAAAAAAAGGTGAAAGGTTAACAAGGTCAAAGTTTATCACTCACTCGGATGCTCGCTGCAGTAGCTACCAAACTATGTTATGGGTTGCGAACTTTCGGGACTAGTAACATGATATAAAATATACGTCACGTGCATGTCAGGTGAATACTGATGGTCCTGTTTGTAGAATTGTCAACACCAATAGCCAACTATATCGTGCGACATTAAAGCAAGGGAGTCGTCCCCTGCGCGTGCGTCAGATGGCCATAGCGTGTCATTGTTTACAAACAAACGTCTACCCGGAAGCCTTGCGTTTTTAGCGTGTGTTTTTATTGTCTTGCTTGGGACTCAATACCCGCGCGTGAGCAGGTGACGAGCCTCCCGCTTTAGCAGCTTGTCTGCCAAACAACAGCTCAGAAGCAATTTATGTTAGAACGTTTTCCCGCCAATTTATATCTATCAGAGTATGTTTATATATAGTGTCATGCGATGAATATATATCATATATATATATTGAAATGTCGCGAGACTCTCGAAGAATGCACAAAATACTGAATATAAAGTTTGGTTGGGACCGTGGCATAAATCGAGCTTGTTACAAATTGTTTTATACTTTATCCAGGAAAGGGGAGGAAATATAAAACTAAATCCCCATAGTATTCCATTAAAATGAGTGACAATTTGATTTTGACGGAATGGCGATATTCGTTATAGTGCAACGACCGCAACATGGAATTTATGTTTATCATCACCCTATTCTGTCAGATGAGATGAATTGTCAGGTGATTGAAAATGTCGAGGTCGACTTCAATCTGCTAAATGGGGGCAACTGCATTAAATATTGAAAACAATTTAAACCTCGTCAACTCGAGTACTGTGGTTTAATCTGTAATCATGTTTCACCATAGACCTTGTTTTCTAAGGTCTATGGTTTCACACAATTAAAGCGAGTGCTCATCACCTGCGCACAACACACGCTAAAACGCAAAGGCTCATGGGAAGACGTTTGTTTGTAAACAATGACACACTAAGGCCATCTGACGCATGCGCAGATGACTTTATACAAAACAACATGGCCGGCCAAACATTACTGCTAGTATTTACTTTTGACCAGGGATGGTGCCCTCGGAAAAATGATGAGAATGTGTCGTCAGCGTATTCTTACAGGCTACGTGATACTAATAACAGTCTTGGTTGAAAACGTTCTCAAGTGTGGGGCTGGATCTTGGTAGAGAATACGATAAATTAACAACTACAAATACACACAGCACTGAATAAAAACCATAGTAACAAAACGAGATAAATGGAAAAAAAAGATGCTAAATGATTGTGTTGTTACTTTACTTCTTAGCAGGTATGCTAGACATTCAAGTTCATCAACCGCTAGGAGATGGTTTTACAAAAAATTATATCTTTCTCGCCCTTCACATAGAACACAATTGCGAAGGAAATGTTTTCCGATCTCAATTTCCTGTTAGTCACAAACTGGACAGATTCAATCATCATCATTAAAGTTATTATAATTACCCCTTTCAATTTGAAGGACAAAGTCATTTTCGTCATAGCAACTCATTGGTTGGAATTTTTCAATTGTAGTCAGATATTTGTCATATGCGAAATCTGTTTTATTTTTATCATATAATATTTCTGTACTTCAAAGTATTTCAAATGTTTGTTCTGGTTCACGTGTTACTGTTTCGCGGTTTTTGTCGCTCTTATATTTGTATTTTTTCCATACTTTTTCCATATTCAAATATACAGTAGTTTCTCCCTTTTTGTGTAGATGTATTCCTAGCTAGAATACCTCATAGACTAGTGAAAAATGAGATTTATTATTTATCTAATATTTTGTCATATATATATTTGCTTGTTGCTGGGTTACTTAATAATGAATGCTGAAATTGTAGACCCCGTTTCAAAATATTTTGCTCAAAAAGAGATTCCATTCTAGATGATTCCATTCCCAAATATTTTGCGACATATCCGCATTATTATAATACCTATCAGATGGAACTATCTCAACTGGGGTACTTAACATGACTGACATAATTTGGATAATTCGAACAACGGAACTGAAAAAAGCTCCATGTTTAAACTGGTCCTCAATTTCGCCAGTTAATTTCAATTTGACAAATCGTCTGCTGTAGTCACTATGAATGCTTCGTGCTCGGATGTTAGCATAATTAAATATTAAATAATATTTCTGTAAATCTCGTTTATCTGAAATTACATAACTAATTATGCAATGTGATTAATTCTTCGTGATGGCATTTGATTCAGACAGGGAGCTCCCTGATTTGGTACAGAACAGTCGATCATACCATAGAGGTAGTAGGTCCTACTACCTTCCATGATCATACGTTGTCCAAAATGTAAAGTGGCGCTATAATGTAACGTTATCATGTGACGCCAACAACTGCTGCACGCATACCCCCCCCTCCCCCTCATATCGAGACGTAAATAGCAAACCAGTCTTCAACTTAGCTGACAATGTTACAGTTTTGTGTTCGGAACAATGTGGCAGTGAGAATAAAACAATGGGCGTTTAGAGATCGGGGATAGTGGGACTTTGGAGCAAACAAATATTTAATAACCAAAAACTAGAACTGTGACGGACCCCTGTAACTATTGTGGCGTTGAAATAATTTAGCAAAGACTTCGTTCAGGCAATACACCTCCCTGGCATACACAACAAATCACCCCCCCCCCCCCAAACACAGTAAGTAACACAGTTGGTGATTGAAATGTCGTCGTCGTCTTCGTACATTGTCCCACAGATATTCATGTCAGTTGCGACACTTTAGCTGACAACTTGATTGAAATGTTAGACTAGCGTAAACGAACCGAGGGGATCCCCGGTGCTTTCAGACCACAAGCTATACCAATACAAGAACCTGTACGTAGCTCGATTCCCCCTCCCCCGCCCACGTTTTTTCACCGCATACACACACGCCCCTATAGCCATTACAGTGTAACGTTTAGAGCATTGTAGTGTCGTTCACACGATATTCGTCGTATCCTTGTATTTGTTAGATCATGGACGCACCACGGACGTACTAATCCATGGTTAGATCTCATACCACTAATAAAGTGCCCGGTGGTCTGAGGTAAGATCTAGTCGTATAAGCTCCGAATATAGATCGATACAGCGATTCCTTTTTCTGAATCGATCATAGCTATATTGAGATAAAAGTTGTGTCTTAGATTAGTACTTAAAACAAGCGTATATTTTGTTACCAGAAACTTCAATCGGTAAACCAATACTAAACTAACCACAACTGTGAATGTCTTTGAGTCGAGCTTTGAGTTGGTATGCTGGCGTAATACGAATAGCAAACATTATATCTTGCAACAAACATTATAGTTTGCGTTTGTGTGCACTAGACTAACAGACTACAGACTAACTGCATAATGACCCAATCACTAATCGTAACTCTGTAATGCGCGCATCACACAACATCACTCCACAGTGCCTCAATAACACGGTATAACTCCATAGCCCCACAACACAGAATAACTCCACAGTAAGGATTACGGAATATACTTGTACAGGAATTGACATACAGCGCCATACCATACTATTATGTTTTTGACATCTCCAGAGAATCATCAGTGATCCGTCCACCAGTACGAGTATATTTGCATATTGCTCATTTTATCAAAGAATTGTCTTAGAATTCAATGCCCCCCCCCCTCCAACTTGAAAAAACGAAGTCGGTCCCGGTCCATCTACCAAAACTTCAATTACAATGAGTAAATGTACAAACTCTCTGTCCCATCTCGTTCCACAATATTCGGACGCTGTGAATGTAACTCACTTCCGGCGACGTTAATTATTTCTATCCCAATTCCCCTGAGGCCGGAAGTTTGAGATAATTTCATCAAGTTTCCTGGAAACGTCTTTTATAACTTCTGATTCTGCGGATCTCTGTTTTAACATTATCCAGTCCACTGAATTCAGTAAGGTGCGTATTTGACCTGTTTTGTTTGAAAAAAAAATGGGTTCAATGTTTTTCGCTTTATTTCCAGATATACAAATCTTAAGAATAAATCGATCATAATACCCCCAACATGCTCCATCCGCAGTTTGATGGGCGTATCATTGAAACACACATAACGACAGATTTATATGTAAATTATGTACACCACTCTACGTGACGTCACAATGGAAACACCAGACTGAACGAGATCACCGACGGGAACACATTAATAAAAAGACGGAGGCGCAATCGACGATCGTTGTTACCCGTTCTATCGGAAGTCTTAAAATACCGTGATGAACTTTGCCCGTAAAGGCTTGGCTAGAGGGCTAGACATGCGTCTGTCATTCAGCCTTTATATTGCCTGTTTACTGAATGGAACCGTACATGCTGTATCGACGCCCTTTCTGTGGGATGAATACGTAGCAAGTCTGAACACTGTCTCCGTCTAAGGGAGAATACCTAGTGAGCGTACGATGAATCTCACGTACATACTCACCAAGAATGTCGTCAGCGTGGACCCCAATTCGCTGGTAACGCCAGATCGCAACTACGGTCCACTCGGCACAGTCGTGGTGTCAGCGATACTTGTAGCCATTATAGCCGTGACTTTGTTTATGAATTCGCTGATAATCCTCGCGTTTTGTACATCCAGACACGTCCGTAAGATAAACAACTACTTCTTTTTCAGCCTGGCACTCACCGATATATTGATGGCTGTGCTTGTTATGCCATGGATGGCCACGGAACAGTTATTGGGTACGTGGATGTTCGGTAAAGAGCTGTGCTTAGTTTGGTTATGTGCTGACTATTTTCTTTCATCGGCATCTGTGTTCAATATGACATTCATTTGTATCGACAGATATCTGAATATCGTTCACCCTTTGTCTTATCCAGCTAGCAGGACACCGAAACGGATTATTGCCATGATTGTAGCGGCGTGGGTTCTAGGATTGCTCGCCGAGTTACCAGCCACGCTTTTATGGGAACCGATCGGACAAAAGAGCGTGATCAACTACACGCATACATGTGACGTTGAATGGGTTGACAATGTTTACTACAACGTTCTCAGCACGACCTTGACGATTTTCGTGCCGTTTATCGTCATGACGGTGTTGTACTCCCGCATGTATTGTGCCGTGGAACGGAGTTTACGCTGGATTAGGAAACATTCTGTCGCCGGGTTCGAAAGCAGCGAATCGATAAATCAGTCCAGTCAGATTAATCACCACATTGACGATGGTATGCCGTCTGTGTACAATGACTCGACGAGTAGCCATCAAAATACTCGCAAATGGTCACTGGCGAGGGTATCGCTACAGAAACCCGACAGTCACACAAAACGAAGGGGTAACAAGAAACATCGTGTTTTAAAAGATAAAAAAACTGCCACAACTCTTGGGATTTTATTAGGATTTTTTGCGTTCTCGTGGCTTCCCTGGCAAGTAGTGAGTATCACAGACGCGGCGTGTGGGTATTACTGTGTCCCTACACTTTTGTATGACATTTGCCTCTGGTTACAATATTCAAACTCTATGGTTAACCCATTCCTGTATATATTTAGAGACGACAGCTTTCGCATTGCTGTTTATGGAATTTTAACAAAGTGTTCATTCACCAGTGGCAGGTAGCACCCGTTATGAAGGAGTTGAGAGCATGTCAGATGTCTGCAGTGGAGTACGTGCAATATATTATAATATATGGTCGGATAGCATGTTTTCATATTTTGATTTATATAAAATATTAATATTAATATTATTAAAAAAATTAAAAATATATAGAAAAATTTGTCATGATTAACATAATCGGTCAATGATATATTTATAAGTCGTTCGACACTACTATCTCGTCACGGTTAGATTATATATGTATTTATTGGTTGTCTGTTTATGAGTTGTGTATACAAACATTGATAGTCAACCGCTTATAATGACAACATCGCTCTGTTCTGTTTATGACAATATAACTACTGTATAGTACGAAAGTGGTACAAGAACAGTGCCTTGCTCATTTTATTCTTCGTGGTGTACCGTGACGTCAATTCTTGCAATTGTCGTATCAACACTAATAGTCAACCTCATACTGACATACATCATCGTCGCCATGATATTTGGCCGTTGTATCGCCATTATAGGACGGTTGTGAATGGTTGGCTTCAGCGAAACCGTGCGAATCGGTTGATGAATATATTTGAGTCAATAAGAATTCAAACGATTCAAACGCTGCAGTTGAGTTGAAGCATTCTCAAAGACGGACCGGAACAGGAAGTCAGTGAAAGCATATTTACAAGGCACAATTTGATACGTCCGAAAAAAAATTCATACAAGTTGTTGTTTGATTGGTCAGACCAAAGACATTAGAAAGAGACACAGGCATATGACAGTTGAACGGGATTAGTCAGTATGAATTCCAGGTGTAGTTGAACTTGAAGTATTGTAAATTAGACTGGTGGTTACCACACGATTACTGAGGTAAAATACGTCTACATTCAGCATGTAGCTTGAATATGCACCAATCCGCGCGTTTTCCTCCTTTACAGGGAACCAATCTATTTACTGATGAACGACTTAGTGTCGTCGCTGTAAACATGGAGGTAAAAGTCTTTTCCCCTCCATGCTATAAACAAGCCCTGATTGGTTATTTGCTTTCAAGACGGTTACTCGCGATTAAGTAAATCATTGCACTCAAATGCCGCGGTTGTCATTGTACGATATTTTGTAGTGTACCCATGAGTGCACCGAAACAATGCCATGGCGGCGGGAATGGCTTCTGTCTCGTTCTCATATACACGGCGTTTGTGTTATTTCGACTGATTACGTCATCAAACTCTCGTCTGAACTTGATACGTGAATCATGGAACTATAAACCCCTTAGTTCCATGCGTGAATGAAGCAACGTGAATGCAACCTTTTAAGAACTCTATGATGAATGACGTACCCAGAAAATACCACGTACTTTCTACAAAACATTAAAATAAAGCGGTGCCTCTATGAAAATATGCCCACGCCGTCTCCGAAATTCGACAGTAGCACGCGCAAGGCACCATGCCACCAGCAAGCACTAATGCAAGTTCGTATAATTACATGTTCAACGCTACATGCTGCGTTCTAGTTGTCACTCACGCGTGACACCATTCCCAATCACTGACCTAGTCATAAGTGTTCACGTATGTTTGTATCCCAGCCAATAACCAGCCAACTATGTCAGTTTCGCTTGACCCAGAGTTAGTATTGTTATTGATCGTATTGCGGTCAACTGGGTGCGCATTTAAACGGAACACTCCGTAACCTACAAAACATAAAATACGGCAGGACAGGACGTTGCAATGAACAAAGAGGTTACGTCATGCATGTAACTTCAGTGACAGCGATGATACGCCTCAATGCACCTAAACAGAACGCGGTACTCTTACTCCCGGTCATAGACCTGCGTCTGACCATAGTACGTCCATGGTCTGACGTAGTATTTTGATTATAATGGCCACATTTTACTACGTCAGCATTGCTACTGCAAGGATTACAATAATCTAATCATGACAGGTGTGGGACTGTGGTGGAATATTTATTGGTTATAAAAAGTAAAAATCTAATATTTGATTAAAACACTTTCCAAAACTAAGCTGTAACGGGAACCGAGAAAATGGGGGAAAGAATGTGAGACGATAGTTTCGTGTGGTGCTACACTTTCCATGTTCTGAAATAAATCACGGATTTTTCTCAGTTTTCAGCGTAGTTACTTCCTCTCAACACTACAAACCTGCCAACATTCATAGGGATATAGCTTTATAACCTTCTCAAGTATGAGTTTTGACAACCCATCAACATATGCGCTGACTAACGATTCATTGTCAATAAGTATACCAACAACCAGCCTCGTTTTCGAATAAGCTGTTGGCGGACGATGCTCCCAGTCGATTTAATACACTGCCACTGTCGTCGGGGTAACGGAGCACATATGATTTTCAGATTAGATATATGAAATGCAACGCGTATGATAAGAGATTATGTTGTGTGGGCAGCTAATTAATATTATGTTGTAGTATCAGTACACACGTTACAGTACCGTATCGACAAGCTAACATAATCTGTCCTGTTTATCCCGACTGAAAAACAGACTGAGAAATATACAGAATGGCCGTCGAGATCTCGTTAAGAGCGAGAAAACAACGAGACTTGTTTCGACACGGCAAAACAAGTCTCGTTGCTTTCTCGCGCCAAACGAGATATGGCGGCCATTTGCGTGTGAGGTCTATTGTGTAACATTATAAAGTTGAAAACATTTGTGTTGTTCAGACATAGTTCAGACGTTTGTTGCGAATCGATCCAGTAATACCTGTATGGATTTAGGCCTGGAAGACTAGGCGCGGAATTGGATCGATGTATCATGCACTGATCGTAGACGTAGTAATTATATTGGATAAGTGGTGAGCAAAATTCGGTGAGAAAAATTGCAGTCAACAGAACTGCGCTCACCAAATCAGGTAAGAATCCTTGTCGTAAACGATGAGCAAAATTTTCTCTTAAGGTAGAAGCCTAGTCATAATTTTTGACAAAATTGGTCATAAATCGCATGACAATGTTTATTAGTTAATTATGTACAATCATGAAGCTCATGTCTCATGGTACATGAAATAGCATTATTTTGTATGTTACAGTTACGCTTTTTGAGAAACGTGTCCTAATATTTCTTGAAAATAGCTATTTTTAAAACAATTCCATAGAACACAATTTTAAAGAAAAATTGCATGTTTTAACACTTTTTAAAATCCAGATTTTTTAAATAATTCAGAACAACAAAAAGTAATCTATCATTAACAATATATGATTTTTTCAGCCTATGTCACCAGGTTAGATTTTGAGATATTGCATAATATCTCTGCCATAGGAACCTGTGGTAAAAGTGTTATAATAATGACAAAATGGCGACTTTCCACTAAAATACAACCATTAATTTCTCCAAAAAAAAGGCTGGTGACCCCTAACTTTTTTTGGTCAATATCCTTATATTGCCTTGGAGTAAAATTTATTGCAAAATGAATAAATTCTGTTGTTTTTTTAATATATGAGTAGGCTTCTACCCTTAAAACAGGTTAACAGTTTTTTTAATTATAGCGTAATAAGTAATTCAATATCACGTTTTAAGGAACTCGTTAAATATAAATATTAAATATTAGCTGACTCTTCTACCCACCTCATTTAAAGTGAGGGTTCTAATCTAGTTCATTTTGCTCATTGCCCCGGTTGCCATTTACCTACCCTAGGCTGTTCATATTAGTCACGTGATATTTTGATCTAAGAATACATTGGTGTTTGTTTATTATACACTTGATTGTAGCATTGCTTTATGTCGCCATACGTTTCTCATGGCAAGCAAATGCTTTTTTTAGAATCGTTAGACCAAGCTTATTATTATACTTTATCACGAAATCCTATAACGTGATATGATGAAACGTTCAAATTACCATGAAAGACAAAACCCCGCCTCGCGTGATTAATGACAGTAATTTGACATCGTTTAATAATATCGTCACGGTTATTTCACATTATTTGACAACCCATACTTTAGATATACTTACATGAGTTACGTGAAAATATGGACATTCCTATATTCCGAAGGAAGAAAAATAAATTACATCACTTTATATTGCACAAATGATAAACGCACCGCGTAGGGTATATATGTATACTGACATTCCGCTGGTGTGTAGAGTTATCAATATGGGATGGTTACCGAGAGTTCATGTGTGCTTATTAACATGGAGGTTAGTGTGAACAGCGCACTTTGAACTCGTCCCAATTCTCAAGGATGATGTCTAGAACCGTCGCCGTTTCGAGTTTCTTCAATGTATTATGCGATCTGAAAGTGCAAAATATTTCCGATAAAGCACGTTCAGAAAAATGCGTCTGGAAATTTCATAACAGAGACGATCTGGTGTATGTAATGTCCGTTGTCACATTATACAGTGTTGCTGAGTGTGCAAGCAGCGAGAAAACGGAACAAAAACGCAGGGGTTCCGTAAGCTATATCCACAGTGGAATTGTCACTGTAAGATAACGGCAGAGCCATCACGTGATGGCCAAGAGTCGATGAACCAGGTCAGGAGTCGCTCACATTCTGTCACGTCGTCGCTAGTTTTTATGTTATATTTAGTCACTTGTGCTGTCATCATAGTTTGTATTCAGTAAAACTCGATGTACAGTGTGCATGGTTTCCTTTTTAATCAGAATACTCCCATTATGTATGAATAATATCAGTTGTAGAAAATATAATAGCAACATAATTGGCGACGTGTTTGCGTCGTAGTGATTAGGTCGGACTGCTATTTTGCTGCGTGAGTCTACAGGGATGATTTCATGTTTTGCCTTTTTCCCCATAGAGTAAAACGTATAATCTCAAAATTTAATGTTTTCCGTATTGTTTGCAAATATGTCATGTCATCTCAGTATGGTGTTACGAACTATTGTGAATCCATGGCGAAATCTTAATGCCATGTTCAAAATGTATATTTAAATCGGGGGAGTCGTCACCTACGCATACGTCAGGTGGCCATAGCGTGTCATTGTTTACAAACAAGCGTCTACCCATGAACCTTTGCGTTCTTAGCGTGTGTTGTTATCATCATGGGGACTCAATTCCGGCGCGTGCGCAGGTGACGACCCCCCCCCCCCCCGCTTTAAAATAAAACTGCGACGTATCTTTCTTTTCAGTTAATTCAATATGCAAGCGTGAATAAGTGGTCAATGACCCGATGTTGTTGTCGTGAGACAAAGTTAGTGACGCGGTATTCTGTTATTAGCGTTGGTTGAGTTTTATAGTGGGAATATTAATTACACACGTAAGTTTACATTCATTTCTATAATTTATGAGTAGAGATTATAAATTACACGTATATCATTAAGGCACCGCTCTGTGACTATGATAATCATACAAATAAACACATATTAGACTATGTACACTTTGCTATCATTATTCGTGACATGATTCCGTGTCAGCCAGCCTGAGTATTAGTACATGCAATGAACATATCAAACACAAACAATTTATTCATTGTGTGGCACATCACGTTTTGTACAAAAACTAGACCTATCATGACGTCACGGTGGTGGTGTTTAGCTTGCCGGTGGTGTATTCGTCATTTCGATGTAACAGAAACTCTCCGCTCATCGATTGTTCGACGAGAATGGTGTATCATCCAGCATAATCAGAGCCGAAGTGAACCTAACGACGAAATATTATGGAAGGAAATATATCTTCTATGTCACCAAGGCGTTGAAATAAATCATATTCTGATGCATAAAAACGTCAACTTCAATATAGAATTCACAATAGCTCCGTGAATGATGAATGAGAAGTGTAATATAGTCTCACAACTAATGTTACACACATTTCTGCTCTGATTTCCGGGTAGCGTATGTAATATTCACCACGCGTCTAAGCAATAATTGGATAATTTTGGTTTCCATTAAATTGGGCGTTTGATCGCAGTCGGTACTTTCATGACCATTTTACCATGGGATTTGCCAACCGTAACCACTTGCGGGCATGTTATCGCAAGGTATCATGGTTATCACGTAATAGTTTCTGTTACTGAGTACTATTATCATTCACACTCAGTGTTAATACGATTACATACTAGGACCTTGGGGGAAATAAACTAGCAGTACGAACAATATTGAAATAGACATCCTCCACGCTCCCCGAGCGTAGCCAGTGCACCATAACGGCTCAATACGATGATGATTACTTTTATGACGTGCATAGACTCAAGACAACTTACAAGTATAATATTTCTTTATCCAAATTTCGTAATTTTTACCGGGGTCAAAATAAGAGTGGGTTTCCGAGAGTCGACCGAAGATCCAGTGTGCGGAAAGTACAAATAATAACTCGTATGAAGTGTCAGTTATACCAATCTGATTAAATACCGATATAGGTATAAGTTCCAATATCTATTTTGTTTTATTTTATTTATGTCTATTATATTTAATAGAAAAAATAACAAAAACCAAATTTTGAAATTAAAAAAAGTCAGCCTACACCTACTTTGGATTTAACTCATATTACCGTCGTTTCAGACTCATTGAGCGTAACTTGATTATAATTTCCACTTAGTCTTATGTTTGTCTCCAATAACGACTCAAGCAGGTACCGACTGTGACACGTCATATTGGCGAGGTCAAAGGTTATCGATGAAAGCAGGATTACGACGTACTTAATTGCATTCCACTGAATTCCAGAGACCTGTACAAATATGGGTACGTGGTGTAATAACCGAGTGTCGATTTCCTTTCAGGTTGCCATGTTACTGTGCGCACGCTCGCTACAAGCACGTACTTGGAGCAGTTCGCCCCTTTAATTTTCCACAAATTGAATAAACATCCTTAGATATATTAGCCCCTCACGGTAATTAATAATGTACGTTCAATAATAATAATTATAAAATACAATTATCGATTCATTATGTGTGTAAATGAGCCATATTTTTTTATTTTACGAACGTTTCGTAAACTTTCAAATGCAGCCTAGATTCAAAACGATATAAACTCGATATACTAGATAATAGTACCGATAAATAAAATATTCGGACAGAACTGAAGCTAGTATAGTTAAATGTCTAACTAAATTATCGGCACTGTCTCGTACGTAGCCGCGTATCGACCCCGAGTCACTAGGTTCCATACAGCCTTGAACAGCAGCCGGTAAAGGTATTGTGCTATGACTATTATCTTTGCTCTACATCGTCTACAAGTCACATACAGACACATATGAATAAAGACAGACACAGCGTGGTGATGAGAATAACTGATATGAGACTGTGCATACATTGACATATACACACATCGCATATTGGTTGCATAACTATAATCACTATTGAATATGTTGTTTCGAGGATTTAGAAAATATGCACATATTCGGGGTGTTAAGAAAAAATGTGCGACCAAGCAAAGTAAAGAATCAGTTATATATGAAGGAGGCCATTTTGAATGTTATGACGATTTACCAGTCCATTACAAATAAAGTTGACCTACCCTGCATGTGGTAGAATTCCACTATACAAACTACGTACCTCTGAAGGTAACTTTTGAACCCGACTTTGTTTCTATGTTTTTCACTCACACACCTAAGTTTGGCTGTTCAATTACTAATATTCTCGGGATTCTTGTTCGTTTTGATAAAATACTGTTTGCCCCCCCCCCCCCCCCGCCACCGCCACCGCCTAGTTCATCATGTGTGAGTACATTTCGGAATACTCAACATTTACCACAAATAGGTCATTATTATCGACCCTGGTTATAACTTTGTCTGTCGAAGTTCAGAATTAAATGTCGATGACTCGTCGCTGTTTCCACGAAGGTCGGTGATAATCAAGAATAATCTCATTTATCCAACTGGGCAACGGATGTACGTGTTTTTTCGCGCCTTGTGTGACACTTATATCTTTGTTGTGTTCCCCAGAGAATGACCACACAAATATAGCGGTATCACGTCGCAAGTGGAGTTTGTGGTTATACCGATACCGATACACTGTAATAGTTACCATTAAAGCTAACAAAGAACCATTTTTTGAAATAAATATTCATGCAAACATTCTCACTATCTTTCCCTGAGTTACTTTGTATGGACAACTACAATTCATGTTTGAAGCAATCCGGAGTATATGTTAATCGCAGTTAATCGTCACATGTTACGTACTCGGCTTATTGCTCGATGGTGTAGTTTTCACCTCTTGGCAGCATTAACACAACGTTGTACCGCTCTTAGGTCAGAATGTTTGCTTAACTATGATCGATGGGTTGATAAAGTTTAAATTAAGAAGTCCCGTTTCGGCCATAAAACACGGTTCCACTGGAAGTCGAACGAGTAGAATTTGCCAGGAAACACATGTTTTGAATTGAATGTTAGTACGAACAGTTGTTTTTATGACAGTTATGTAATAGATACATCAACCCATGGACTCGGAAGTACATCATCACCGACTTTTACCTTATCAATCCCTAGCAGTACTTCCATGATATCAATAAGGTCACGCATATTAAGCGTGATGTGGAGATTATTCTTGATCATGTTCGAAATTTAATTGTGGAATTTATTTTCATCAAAAGTTACTTACTTGAATTTGAAGAAGTGGTTCTGTATATCTAAAGTTATTTACGAGATTTTGTTTTCAATAAATTGTAAGCATGCTATTCTACAACGTAAATCGGAGAAATACTCTCACGTTTTTGAATTAAACACACTGCTCAAATTAAAAACACCCTGTTTAAATTAAAAACACGTGAATTTTATTTCAAAACACATGTTTTAAATAAAAACAGCAGTGTTTCAGTATTTGCTTCCGCGGTGGGGGAAAATTAAAGAAAAGTATCTCAAAATATAGCACATATAAAGGCGCAAAAAGAAACTTTTCACCAAGTGTTTTATTGTCTTAAATACTATATCAATGTTTGTCTTGATATGCAGCCATATTTAGTCAAGATTAAAACAGAGAGTATGTCAAATAATATTACACAAGATGAGTGGTTTGATTATTTTAGCAAGTTATTTAATCCAGAAATTACAACAGATGAAAGCATGGCAGACTTCCATTCATTGGTCCACGAATATGTTAATGAATTGAATTTTGATGACTTAGATGATATTAACTTGGACTGTAGTGATTTAAACTGTCATATATCTATGGCAGAAATAAGAAAACATTTAACAAAATTGAAAAATAATAAAACGCCTGGTCAGGATGGAATACCGGCAGAATTTTGGAAACACGCCCCACAGGATATATATGATTCGTTACATATTTTATTCAATAATGTTTTGAACAGGGGCTTATTTCCCATGGAATGGGCTTTAGGATTAATAACTCCAGTTTATAAGAAAGGATCTAAAGGTGAACCGGGAAATTATCGTAGTATTATGCTATTAAATACTATTAGTAAATTGTACATAAGTATTTTGGCAGATAGACTTTCGGCATGGATTGATAATTATTGTAAAATAGTTGAAGTACAGAGTGGCTTTCGGAAGGGAAGGAGTACCATGGATAATGTATTTATTCTGTCTACACTTATTGAAAAATATGTATTTCATTTAAAAAGCCGTTTATACTGTGCAGTTATAGACTACGAAAAAGCTTTTGACCGTGTTCATCATTATTCCCTGTTCTATAAATTAGCCAAGGCTGGTATAACAGGAAGACTATTATCCCTATTTTCAATGTATACACATGTTCAAGCTGCTGTCAAAACACCAATTGGGGTCACAGAATTTTTCAAAATAAACGTAGGTTTGCAACAAGGGTCAGACATATCACCACTATTATTCTGTTTTTATGTTAACGATATTGAAAATGCACTTTCACAAGGGGTTGAGACTGTTGTATATTCCAATACTTTGAAACCTATGTATTTACTTTATGCAGACGATCTCGCGCTTTTTAGCAGTTCTCCTATTGGTTTACAGCGTTTGTTAGATAGATTGGCTGATTATTGTTACAGTAGCAGACGGAGATTGAATGTAAATCTGAATAAATCTAAAATTATTGTATTTCGGAAGGGAGGGAGATTAAAACAAGTTGAGAAATGGTTTTGGAAAGGAGGAGAAATAGAAGTTGTCTCAAGATACAAATTATCTCGGTGTAATTTTCTGTAGTTCGGGTATATGGTACCAAGCACAACAACATATATTTGCAGATCAGGCAAGGAAAGCTTTATATTCTCTACAAAGTATGCTTTATAAATTTGGGGGACTACAACCAAGTATTGCATTTAAAGTTTTTGATTGTAAAATTCTCCCAGTTCTCTTGTATGGCAGCGCAATTTGGGGAGTCCATAAATGTAATGATATTGAAAAAAATCACCATTAATTTTGTAAATTTATTCTGGGGGTAAACTTGAAAGCCACAAATTGTGCTGTCAGGGGGGAGCTAGGTAGACACCAAATACATACATTTATTAACATTGAAATAATTCGTTTTTGGTTGAAATGTATAAAAGTAGATCCCCAGAAACTGTTAGTGATTGTTATCAATACCAGTATACTCGGGCAAACCAGGGATTAAATTGCTGGGCACTGTACGTCAAAAACTTGTTAAATAAATATGGTTTTGGTGAAGTATGGGTAAAACAACAGGTGGCTAAGTATGACCTCTTTCTATATGAATTTAAACAACGAAGTTTTGATATTTCTGTGCAAGAATGGTTTACTAGCGTTGCAGGGTATCCCAAAATGCGTACATACTGTAAATTTAAATATAATATGACCTGTGACAAGTATTTAGAATGTATTTCAAATGTTACTTGTAGAAGGGCACTGTCTTGTTTTAGAATTTCTACACATGACCTAAATATTGAGACTGGGAGAGGGACGGGCGTTCCACTGGAACTGAGGTTTTGTCCATTTTGTTGTAATCAAATTGAAAATGAATATCACATGCTTCTAATTTGCCTACAATATGCCAATTTTAGGTTAAATATATTTTACACTTTTATTTTTCTCCACCAACAGAATGGAAATTTATTTCTTTAATTAATTAAGTATTTCAAATACATTAGTAAATCTAGGCAAGTTTATTTTCTTTTCATTACAGAAACGCCGAAAACTTATGGAATGACTGTGGGATGGTTTATTTATTTATTTATTTTTAAGAATATTTAATATTGTACATGTATAGTACTGAATAAAGATATATATATATGCCAAGATTAGGATTGCTAACAACTTGAGATAAATTACACAGATATTCGAACTGGTAAGACACAGTAATGATATATGCCATTGATCTAACCAGTCAACCACCTAAAGATATAGTCATGGTATATACCATTGATCCAACCAGTCAACAACCTAAAGATATAGTCAAGGTATATGCCATTGATCCAACCGGTTAATCACACGAAGATAGAGTCATGATACAACCAATGATCCGTCAGCCAACCACCTAAAGATACAATCCTGGTATATGCCAATGATCCAACCTGTTAATCACCTAAAGATACAGTCTTGATGGTCAGATACCGGTCAGAAAGTGGTCAGTTAGTTGTTTTTGTTCAAATTTCAGTGAACAACGACTCATGGGCCAATATGTACTCTGGTATGAAGTTTTAAAGCTACACAGGTCAGATGCTTAGGTGTTAAATAGTGAATAGTCAGTGGCTAGTCAGTCGTCAGTTAGTTGGTGGTTAGATAGCGGTTAGTTGGTGGTTTGTTAACGGTTTGGTTAATTAGTGGTTAGTTAGTGAGTGAAGGGAATGAATATTTGGTTGGTTGGTTGGTTGGCTGGCATCCACTACATGTTGTTGAAATTGTGTTTTTTATATGGTATATTGTTTTTTGTTTTGTTTTTTGTTTCTTTTGCAGATTATCTCAAAACATTAGACCCGCAGTTCATATCTTATACAACGACCAGCCTAGAAGCAAAACAACTGTAGTACGTTCATATTAATATTGGCTAACCGTCGTGTTCGACCTCATCTGGCGTTTATTATTAGTGAAGGCTCGAGTCGCCGGATGGACCAGACGTTGGCATAACAACAGTCCTTTCTCCGATGAACATCTCTAACTTAAATTATGGGGAGAATACCCACCCGCGACATGAATGTACTAAGTTTGGTTGTTCTGTCAATGTCCACAGTCCTCATAAATTGCGCATCTCTGGGTTGTGCAAATATCTCCGTATCGAGTGACTGATTGATTGATTGAGAACTTCGTCGGCCTGCCTGTCCAGTGAATTCTCTCGATTTGAAGATACTCTAAGTTTCGGAGCCGGAAAATGTGCTCCCTGATCTCGTAAAACGATAATAATATTTACTGCGTACTGTATCAACTGTGATGACGCCGGGACAACATTATTGGAATATACATATATAGTGTTACTTATCCGGTTGTATATTACATCACACTGACAATTTCTGTGCATGGCACGATTACATGTCGTATTATTTGCGTTTGCTATGAACCTTGTCGTCTGTAAACACATGGAGGTCAAATGCCACCTTTAAAAACTCGTAAAACATTGAGACTTATATACAGTACTTCGCACGTACACATTCGCCATGTTTGAATGCGTCAACAGACAAACGCAGAATGTTCGTATGTTTTAATAAATGTGAAAGGTGTCATTGTAAGAAATGGTTATTTACAAGTAAGTCGGTGAGTTCGGAAGACACAAAATTACTCTAACCGATATGGTTGCTATGGGCGACTATGGTCATCAACGTGTACATCCATTGCAGCTGGAAATTCGCATTTTGGATTTAAATTTGTCTTAAATTGGGAATCCCGTTTCACTGTGGTGTAAATTACTAGTTTAGAAATAAAGCATCGCTTCATCATGTGGATGATTGCTATGATGAGAGACTAAAATCACTTTTATAATCGTTTCTCTAATAATTGACGAATATAAGTGAATTATTCACGCCATTACCCAGACCTTTCGTGCACTCAAAGCTGTGAAATGAGCATATATCATTACATTGCAGCGTCTGACGATATAAGCTGATCTTTCAATTCACTGAATATTATTTACGAAGCCTATTAAATTACATCGAGTTTTCAGTTTCAACATACGCAAATAAAAATGTCGGAATTAAAATGAAATAAATACAGATGCTTAATAAAGTTTTGCCCACGGCATTGCGATGGTGTCGTCGTTATTTCAGACCCTACGTGCAGACAACGCGAGCATTACTCCGGGTTAATGACATACATCATGTAAGGGACAATTATCTTGTGGAAAAACAAAGTATGACCGTGCTCTCAAGAAAGGTGAACATGGAAATTACTTTTCATTTGATGAGGTGTCAAAATAGCCCCATCTTCGGTAGTCATGGAAATATACATGCCTGGGGTCATTGACCTATGTTCGTTGTTCCGCGCCTGAAAACATAATAGCGATGACTTATAGCAACACATTGCTTGGCTATGAACAAGCCTTGATGTCACGTTGATCGTGCGTGTCAAATTGCATGCCTATCACGCTGGTTTTCCGAGAACCTTGACCTGAAACGCGAGTGGTGTTTCTAAACCTAAATTATCTGGAACGTGGCATTTCATGGTCAACAGTCCCATAATGTTGGATTACTGTAAATCAATTACTTCACTATTATGCTGTTTTGAATATATTCACTGTGTTTTTAGCCTGACATGTAGGCGTGAGTGGCGCCCTCGCCGGCCGAACGGCATCATACCTCACCTCACTGTGTTGGGTTTTGAGCACCGCGGAAGGGCGCAACTCACACGACTTGGTCAGGCTACTGTGTTTTAAGTTCACGAATTTGTCATTGTAACGATGTGTCCTATTGTTGTTTTTACATGTTAACGTAGATTTTAATTTAGTGAATTTTACTTATCAGCGAAATAAAAACCCAGTGAATATATAATTGCGGCATTCACAACATATGGCGTACTCGACTGCGTGTATATACATACAACTCACGCTTTATATTTTTATTAGGCACATTTCTGAATCTAATAGTCATATTTTTTATAAAATGTAATTTCAGAATATTTATATTATATTGTGATTATTTGTGATACCACAGTGTTAGTGAAATATGTCGTTTCTGATATTATATTCAATTATTCAGCGTGCCGGGGCTTTGATTAACACGAATACCGTGCCTCGATTATTTTCAGACGTTTTTTAGTTGTTTACTTTCTCAGATTATTTATCATAACTCAGGCGTACTCAAACATAGAGCAAATTAAAACATTGCTTAATCAAATTAAATATTGCGAAAACATCGATGTAAATCGAATTACTGCGTTTTAATAATCGTCCACGTTATGTCAAAGTCTACGTAATCTCATGCAAATTATACACCGTGACGTCAGACTTTCCACAAATCGAATCAGACATCATATTATGCGGTAAATGATCCGATTAATGCAATCAGGTAAATCCGATTTCGTAAACCAGTCATAAATCTGCTGATATTTTCTCACTACTGTGTATTGAATTATGAATCAAATTCTTAATATATCATCGAGAAATAGGTAGTCGAAAGTTGTCTTAACCCTGGCCGAATAAGCTAATAAATATTTTCCATTTGACTGCCGTCAAAAATACACACGATTTTTTTTTAACTTTAAATGCAGAATGATTTTACCAATTATCGATTTTATCAAAGTACGGCACTTTGCAGAGTCAATTTGAAACGATGCAGTTCGTTTATTCCGCTGTTACTGTGTTTGTTTTCCCGAAGTTTTTTAGATTGTGTCACTATTGTTTTGTCCCAACTGTGGTATGTACATGTACATACTATGTAAAACATATTATTGTTACTTTGGGCTAATATGTTGACATGAAAAATACTGTAGTCACTATATCCAGTGAAAATAGTTTCAGTGGTTATGTATGGAATGGCCAACATTCTGCAAATTTCAGAAATGATTGCCATATCCCGCACATGATGCTAACAATTATATTCACTAGTGAGGATAATGACTCAATTTATGTTTGAAATATTGTTTTATCTTAGTGTTCTGTGAAGCCAGTCCTGACAATCGCAGTTTTAGCAGAATATTGGACCCCTTAAAAAAAGACTTTTGTAGCGCACGATATATTGTTGTTGTTGCTCAATGCAATAATCAAGAAATCACGTTCTTGTCATTTATGTGCAAAATTTAACTGAATCGATTCACACGTTTCA